ATAATTCTATTATCAACAAGAATTCAATATCTACAATGATCTAATGAATTTAGCGACAAAAAAAATATTAAAAGAAAAAATTCAGACTAGAACTCTGAGTCTCATTCAGAAAAGAAATAACTTGAGCATCATTTCATATACATGTATTGAGACTAGAGGTGGTGATTGCAACTTGTCTCTACAAAAGCACCAAAATTTAGTCTCACTAGCCCTCAAGCATACAGGTAATTGTGTGAATTTGTCAACATTTCATCTATTGAGATTATAGAGGCTYTGATTACAGCCAGTATCAACAAAAACACCATGAAATTCAGTTTCTGTAGGTCTCAAACATACAGGAAATACCTCTTTTAGTGTAATCGTGTGACACTGCAATCATTTCAATGATTTTGTATGACGGGCAGAACTACATTTTGGGCACAGCTTTAATACTCTCTATTAATACATAATTTCTGCATTTCAATGCATGTTTTGAGTATTTATGCCTGTTTTCAGTATAATTTCTAACTTACTTTGATTTCAGCACTGRTATCATCCTTGGGTATTCCTTGTAAACAATGTGAGCGATGGTCAAGCTGCACACTGTTTGTAGTGTGTATCAAAACTGGGTAATTGATACATGACAAATAGGCGGCCTGGAAATTATCTAAGTCAATGTATATGGAGGGATTAATACTGAGATGTCAAGCTTATCATATCCAATTACTAGAGTACTACAAACAATGAATTAGTGTGCAACAAAAATATCACTTGATGCTTTTCATTTGTGCAATTTCTGTTTTGATTTAGGACTAACTAGTGTAAGAGAGGTTGTGACATACATGTGCCCTTTCTCATCTCCCTATTTTGCTAGGCTAAAAAGGATCGTTAATTTGGAGTCAGAAAAAAATAAATTAATAGAGGTTGGTTTACCATTTGTATCTTACAGCCTTAAAATATTATAGCTATGAGGAAGAGTTTCTCAACCTCTGGCATCGAGGGTTATTAGCACTATTTTATAGAAGGAAACAGATTGACGTTTTTCACACATTTAGTGTGCAACAATACTACATCAACCAACTCAATAATAGAATAGATGGCATCTTTTTTAGAGTTAACACACTTGTACCATGTAATATCATCAAAGAAGCTCAAAGAAGTAGTTATTACTACTTTTTATTTCTTTCAAATCATATCATGCCTACCCGCACTAGGGTTTAGGTTGCCTTAGTACCACCACCCACAGGTTCTCGTCGACAGACTTATAAACCGTCCCTACCCTGCCACGGTAGATTGTGCATCTAATAACTGAGACCTGATTTCAACTTCTCAGATTGAATTTGAATTGTGTGAAATAGGCTACAATTCCAATTTTCTGTTGTCACTTCAACAGTCAAAATCTACTAGATTTTTCGATCTTTAAAACAATAGAGGAAGAGATATTATAAGACACAATAATAAACAAAAAATAAGAATTTTAGTACTATATTTTTGAAAATTGACTTTTAAATTGAAAATTATTCTCGGTTTGCATGTGACGTCACGTCCGGAGTTCAGGTTAACTGTCCGCCATGTTTGTGTACAGCTAGCTCATTAGCATATGTCAACTCACACACGTGGGCAGTATTTTTGCTCTATCTTTGCTTTGTATGGCGTTTTTATGTGTGATTCTAGCAAAATAAAAAACGATTCGAAACCAGAAGATCTTCAAAAATCAACTATCGTCCTATCCGAGTATGGACAACGTTTAGAAAGCCACGTTAAATGCAGATGTCTTGAAAAAATAGCGGTAATAGGAGTCGATCCCGCGACGCTCCTCAGTTCACACCTAGATCCAGAATGTCTTCCACCAGTCGAAGCTGGAGATATCGTCTCATATCTTGTTTTAGAAACCAGTTTTTACACGCTAAAGCAGTTCAAATGTTTCAAAAGTTTAGAAGCCTACAACCAAATGGTATCGGGATTCATAACAAGCGTCCAAGGCAAAGTTTTCAACGACAAGTTCGTAGTGATTGGCAAAGTGAGACATTCGCAAAGAATGAACGAAGCACCTCTCTCAGTTTGGATTATTTAAAGTAAAGAGGGAACAATTATCTCTACACACTGCCTTGGTTGCAAAGCAGGATTGGCTGAGTCTTGCTCTCACGTTGCAAGCGTTTTATTCTACATTGAAGCTTGGACACGGATAAATGGGTCGTTGGCTTGCACACAAGTTAAATGCACTTGGTTGCTTCCTACCTACGTAAAAGAAGTAAACTATGAAGAAGTGAAAGCTATTAATTTGAAATCTGCTAGAAGGCTTAAAGCTGAGCTTGATCAAAAGGTGGACGAAGGGAATGTGAACCTGGATCGTAGTGCAGCAAGCAGCAATCATTCGAAGTCATTGCAATCATGTACACCCACCGACAAGGAGATTGGTGATCTCTTTCTCAAGTTAAACGATTGTAAAAGAAAGACTGCGATTCTGAGTCTCGTTCCGCCTTATGCAGATAGTTTTGTTTTGAAAAGTCGCAGGATTCCAGCCTTGACTGACTTGTTTGATCCAGAAAACATGAAGTTAAACTATGTTGATCTGTTAGCTAAATGCTCAGAAATCAACATAACTTTGTCTGATTCTGAGTTACATTTGATAGAACAAGACACCAAAGACCAAGCACAAACATCAGCTTTTTTCACTCATAGAGCTGGCCGGATTGGAGCATCACAAAGTCATTCTGCAGTCCACACAAATTCCTTCCAACCATCCATATCACTGGTCAAATCTATTTGTTACCCTCAACTTTTTAAAGTGACAACCAAGGCCACAGTGTATGGGTGCAAAAATGAGGCCAAAGCAATTGATGCTTACAGCACTGCAATGAGTAAAAAGCACATAGATTTAAAAGTCACCAAATGTGGAATGTTCATTGACAAGAGCAGACCTTGGATGCATGCAACACCAGACTTTTTGTCGACTTGTACATGCTGTGGCGATGCTTGTGGAGAAGTAAAATGTCCCTATGGTTTGAAAGATGGCAACTTTGAAAGCTACCTTACAAAGAAATCATCTTGTTTAGAAAGGACTGGCAATAATTTACAACTGAAGAGAAATCACCCATATTACTACCAGGTACAGCAGCAGCTCATGATTACTGGAAGACAACATTGTGATTTTCTAGTGTGTGCATTCCCAGACACTGGGRAAAAACCATTGGGAGTTTGTTATTCCTAAAAGATCAAAGATGTGGAGAACTTGTATATTACCTGAACTCACATTTAGATGGTATACAAGAAAGCAGCATATTCACACTGCTCCATCAAATGACCCAAATGGTATTTGTTACTGCAGGAAAGTTACTAATGATTGCACACTTGACTGTTCCAATCCTGATTGTGCAATTAAGAAATTCCACTACTCCTGTTTGCAGATGTCAGATCCCATACCAAAAACATGGTACTGTCCAAACTGTCGCTTGCTACCGAAGTTTCAGAAGCAAAAGAAAACAACAAAGGCATGTAATAGCACTTCACATATTGATGAAGCAATGAAACTATCAAGTGTGTGTATATGTGGTAAAAAACCTTGTAGGACAGACAAACTCTTAAAATGTAATAACAATGAATGTGAAAATGGACAGTTTTTTCATTTACATTGTTTGGATTACAAACGAATGCCTAGTAACAGTAAAACTACATGGATGTGCAGCAACTGTAAAGTCAAAAGAACATATCAACCTGCAGCCACGGGTCCTTCTCAAACCTCTGCACCAGCAGCAAGCACCATAAAGCTACCACTTGTTCTTCTTTCAAACCCCATTCACCAAAGTCAGGAAATAATGTAAACAATACCTCAACAAATATTGAAAATGATGATTCTAGTGATGATGATGTTGAAATAACCAAAGTTACCCAAGGGATTACAAACAAAAAGGCACCACTAGGTAAATTAAGTAACAATCACTATGATATAATCATGTGCCCAAATGGATGGTTGGACTGCACAATTGTTCAGCAAGCACATCTGTGTCTACAAAGGGTGAATCCTTTGATTGAAGGTTTCCACAGGACAACTCTTGGTCCTATTAGAAACTTTGACATTGTCACTGGGGAGTTTGTACAAATTTTGAACACAGGAAATTACCACTGGGTATGTGTAAGTTCAATTGGATGTCAGAGAGGTGTAGTAAATTTGTATGACAGTCTTTATCATGATGTCATTGACATGGAAGTTAAAGAGCAAGTTGAAAGTATGATGGCAGACAGCTTTGTTCGTGTTACCAGCAACTCCGTACAGCAACAGAAGAATGGAAGCGATTGCGGTGTTTTCGCTATAGCGTTTGCAACCTGCCTTGTTTATGGCTTTAACCCAGGAAACTTTACTTTTGACATTCCAAAGATGCGCTCACATCTAATGGGGTGCTTGATGAATGAAGTAATTACAATGTTTCCCAATTTGTAAAGATGACTTTATTAATGTTATTGAAATAGACTCATTTCTTGATAAATATTATGAATGGTTTTGGTTATTGTAGAGAGCACTACTCTCACTAGAGTGATTATAATATATCCAAGAAAACTTGACAAAATGCACAACAATACAAAAGTAGTGCCAATTGAACAATAACAAACAGAGAGTGTACCATTAATATTCAAAAAGGTTTTCTAAGCACTCTCAGGGTATGACACAAATAGTACTTGTTACTGTACACCAATAACAATTAGTAAACAACTGCTGTTTAGTACAAAATATACATATACAATATGTAATATTGAAATCAACTGAAGTAATGTAAGTGTAAAAATCTAATTCTATTGAGAATATTTGCAGATTAAGACTGAGAAGAAGACAGTTAACATGCTGTAAACATCTCATCCAGAGAACAAATTTGAAGTAGAGTAGGTCCAAACATACCAAAAAAAAAAAAAAAAGAAAACTAAGTTGCTTGCAATTATAACAATTGAGAGTTATAAAAAATATGTGTTTGGCTGCTACTGTATCAACTATTACAAGTAGATATCTGTATAATTAAAACTACAACTGTCTAATCAAATGGTATAATTGAAGGACATAAGTTTACAAGAGCAGCAGATACTCTAAGGATCTTATCTATCAATGGTTTTGTTGATTTGGAGTTAGTTATTAAAAAATCTGTTGTGAGTGTTCCTTGTAAAATAGTATATTTGCTGCGTAAAAGGCCAATTACTCTTTCTACGTGAATACGTACATTTGCAATTCCTCTTGTTCTTTCAACATCCATTGGATCAAGCTGAGTCTTGCCTTTGGTGAATGCTGGGATGACTAGTTCTGCCCTTTTTAATGAAACACTTTCTTGGATTGTGAATCCCCTATCTGCCATGACCATGTCCCCTGGTACAAGTTTTTCAAGTATTCCACAGTTTTCAGTTAGAAATTTATCAGACGTCCGTCCKCCCCATGCATTAGACAGGAATGATATGGTACCTAAAATAAAAAATTATAAAATATTATGACTGAATGAAAGTTACAGGGTTCTAAGAGTGATAGCAATGAAGTAAGCATTAAATAAATGACAGCAACACTGACAAAAGTGCATAAATAACTGAAGATTATGAGTGATTATTGTTATATTATTGTTAGCTTTACCTTGTGGAGTTATTCCAATGAGCACTTTAATTGTGTTATGATGTTTATATGAGGAAAATGTTTGGGCTCTTGCTAGTAGGTTTGTGGGACGTTCAATAAATACTTCAAAACAGTCAATAATCACAGTTGTTCTGTTCCCAAAAGAATAATGGAAACATTTGGGCATTGTGTTCCATAGCTCCTGTCGCTCTGACCAGTAGATGAGTCTTTTGAGTCTGCTATCCATAATGCCAATCCAAGTGCTGAATGTCCTTGATACTGTTGATGCTGAGACCCCGAATCGAAAGGCCAAGTCTTGAAATGGCACATTTAGTCTCAATTTGATCAATACCATAACCATCTCTTGAAATTTAGTCAATGTTTGTGATTTTCGTTGAACGTACGGTGAAACATATTCGAAGAGAATTTGTAAAGTTTTAGCTTCAGCTAGTCCGGTGTAGAACCTAACTTTGTTGTCGTCCTCCATATCTTCGGCGTCAAAAGGTGGCTTACATGAACATTGTTTAAACATGTAGTCAAACTCCTCTGTCTGAGTGCTTGACTCACAGCTTTCAGACTTATTTGGGAATTCTGTTTGAGTGCTGGAGTCGATAAGCAGACTTTCCAACTCGTTCAAAACGGTATCAATATCATTCTGTGTCATGGCGTCTGTCGTGGCACTTTCTTCAACATTTTCAGCATCGTATGGTGCAGACTGCTCGTAATTCTGTTCCTCACTGAAACATTCTTTGACAAGTTCTCCAGGCTCATCGAGTTTGGCTAATTTGGCAGCAGTTACTTTCAGCTCTTCTTCGTGTTGGCGTTTGCGTCGTACCTTCGCTCTTTCTGCCCGTTCGATGTCTCTTCGTTGACGATCTTCGTCGCTAGCTGCTTTCTTAGAGTGTCCCAGATTCAGAGTGGGAACCCAGTCAATATTAAATTTATGCCAACTGGCTGCAGGACGTCCCGAAACAAAATGTCGACTGCAAACGCGATCGTTTCGCAGGATTGCTTCTGTTAGTTTGTCACGAGTAATGGCGGCAAGCCACCTCGTTCTTCGCTCTATGGACAGTTCCTCTACCATTTCGCCTTGATTTCTTATAATACAGGGCACAGAAAAGAAGTTAACATCTTTGTCTCGACCACTTCTAGTATGGCAATTAACCATAAGACAAAGTACCATGATAAAAAGGCAGAAAACACTTCTGAATTGCGAAAATTATGACTTTGTTGTCTCCGTTGTCAAGCAAAGCTGTACACAAAGATGGCGGACTGTAACTGTTGTCAAGCAGCGCGTCACGTGACTGCAAACCGAGAATATTTACAGTAACAATAAGGGCCAAACTTGTGTAAATTAGTCGCTTTTTCTATTTATGAAATAAAAATAGGTAAGAAAATTCCGGATTGTCAGATCAATGATGAAACGCAAAAATTGTACCGTGTTTTCTAATTTTGATTTTTAAAATGAAAGTTGTCTGTGTCGATTTAATGAAATTTTTGCAAATGTCATACTATTTCTATCCGAAATCTAGAATTGTCACAAATTTTCACTGATTTTAGATGCAAATTTTTTAATCTTTTAGTTTTCCAGATATTCATCAAATATGAATTTACTGAATTCCACATAGTTTTGCTTAGTGAGCTTACAAAATTTTTAAAGCTTTAATCAATAAATGGGTTTTATTATAACTGTAACATTTTTTTAAATATTACACAATGAACTATGCTTGGCTCATTTATCTTTGACCACTGGATAACAATAAAAATTTCTGAAAATATAACAAAGTTGAACTTAAACTGGAACATTTGTCATGAACAATATCCCTTATAATGCAAGAGAAAAAAGGATTATAACAAGTTTCCTTAATTTATAGAAAATTAAATTAAATACTCCAATCAGTTTGCCTACAACAAATTGGTGTACCATTGGGACAAATTTGAAAAAAGTCCAAATTAAAAGGACTATTTGGAAAATATTTTGATATAAACACTTTTGATAAACACACTTGAACCATAAAATAAAACCAATTTTAATGTTCTTGAACGAAAGTTAAAAATAATAAAGATTTAAATGGAAGCAAACTTGTTCTAGTTAATGGTGCAATTAGTCAAAAAATGGGGACAAATGTTTTTATTTCACAATTCAAGTGTGTGATTCTACCGGAAGTAATCAATTTTTTTTTATAGGAACAGTCAATATCTAGCATTAAAACATAGGATGGAATGCACTATCTGGTAATTATAAACTAATAATGTATAAATCTTTATAAATCACTTTTTATCAGGCCAGGTAGCTCTCAGGTAATAAGTATAAAAGACATGAAAATAATTTTTTCCTCTAAAAAACAGTTTTAAAAACAGTTTTAAAAAACTGTTGATTTTGAACTATTCATGGCCATGTAGTAAAGCAATTTTATKTAATCTATGAAATAAAAACTTAATACTTCTTAAGAATTAGTCACTTAAATAAATAATTGCACTCAAAATATAGTTCAGTACTCTGGAAACATTAGATAGACAAGAATCAAGTTATTTCATTTATTCATTTATTGATATCACAGTATAAATGAAATAAAGAATAAATGACTCAATTTGATTCTTGTGTATTTAATGTCTGCGAGTATTGAGCTACAAGTTGATTTACTTGAATGCTATCATATTTAAGTACAAAATAGTGACTAATTTAAGAACTATTTAGTTTTTATGTCATAGATTAAATAATTGCTCTGCTGTAACAACTTACAGAAATCCAAAAATATGAAAAGCAAGAAAACACTCCTAATAGTGTGCAAAATAAAATGTAACACCATAACCTAAACAATGTATCCCATATCACTTTCATAGAGATGGATGAAATGCAACCTATTACACTGAACCAAAGTGATCATTTAAAAAAGCCATATCATASACTTCAAAGAGTTCTTTCTCATTTGGTAACTGACCATCCAATGAATACATAGGTAAAGTAAGGCCATTTGAGCATGTGTGAGCTCTTGGAAGGAAATAATATGGACTGGTTTCTAGGACCCCTGGTATCTGAAAATAAGAGTAATTTGTCAGTTTATAATGTTCGTCTATGATCATTATGCTGAGATATGACCTAACATAGAAATCAACTTATATTGTAATTACAATTACTCTTTATACTCTATTTTAAAACATGGGATTTAGAAAAAGAATTGTGTATTRTTTTTACCTCTGGTGATTGAAAGTCGATATGTGGATGTTTAGCAAATCCAAGCACTGGCTCTTCACTGGCTYCCGTTGTGAAGATAAGAATAGAGGCTAGAGAAACAGCTCCCCTTTCTCCACGTGCTACCTGCCGTATATACTTGATAAACATGGAGTACACTTCTTTCTCTTTCATAAATCTAGAAGAACCCTCTTGAGAAAAGTCAGGTTTGAGTAATTGTATGAGCATCTTTGAYGATAGCTTGGCMGTGGTTAGGCTCAGTATCCAGCCGTCGGGATTTCGTGCGCCCGCGATACTCTCTCCCCTGACGGCTGGGCGCATAGGGTTCGCTATTGTCAGTCTYGACCAATCAGCGAGTGGCCCCCGATATTTTCAGGGGCATATCATTAATAAATTAGCAGGCAGCCGTCGTCGCAGTGTAACAAAATGGCGGACAATTCGTCTTTTGAGATTCTCGTTTGAACGCTCTGAAGTCGTTTAGCTTGGACGAATTTAGAGAAATACAGCAAAAGGCTCTTAAAGAGATTGYTCTTGGAAAAGATGTCCTTGTTATTCTTCCTACTGGCTCGGGCAAATCTCTTATTTTTCAAACAGCGCCACTAGTGTATTTTGCTCGTCTTTCTGGCAGATAATATATCCATTTGGATTATTAAACCCTACACATGTTTTACTTGGGGTAATTTCCATTCCTTTCTCTTTTTTAAAGCGCTAACTATTACATTATACCGCCACTTCGCGAAGTTTTCATTTCACATAATTTCACGTCTTGTAGCAAAACCTTTTAATACGGCTGTTGTCAGATATTTCACTTCCGTTCACTGAAAAATTCACGTCCGTTATTCATAATATGCTAATTACACAAAAACGTCACGGACATGCGCGACACGCTTCGAACCCCATGCGCCCAGCCGTCAGGGGAGAGAGTATCGCGGGCGCACGAAATCCCGACGGCTGGAGACTGAGCCTAGGCAGTGGTTGGMCTGAGAAGATGTAGCATAATAGGATTAGCCCTGATAACTGAACACAGGCCAAAAACTTCTAACCCCTTCTGAATGTTGGTAATACAACAGTCTTTATTGGGATACACAAGTAGCTGATCAAGCACCTCGTTTGGTATAAATGCTGGAAGTGCACCATTCTGCAATGKGCAATTCCAACCATAATGCCTGCATAGTAGTAATCTTCTGAAAGAAAAAATCAAAATACAAAAATCAAAATACTTTCTTCTTTATGTCTTTAGCCATTTCTCCAATAAACTCCACCTCAAAAGTAAGGGTATAATCTTTTATTTCAGCAAGTTCTGATAGGGTTGTTGGCTAAAGATTCTGTCGATCCACACAAATGAAGTTGGTGTCATCGTAATTTTCATCACAACGAGATTCACATTCCATATCCAATCGTCTTCCATGAATTAGACTGTTTTRCAAATATCTTAATATTTCTACAGGGTCTGTTAGCTTCTGAGAGGCAATACCCTGAATCAATGCACTCACAGCTTTATCACAATTAGGCATGGAAAAGTCATCCCCCTCATTCTTTTGCATTTCTGATTCTCCAGTGGCTTTCACTTCCTTTGTTGCATTGTAAGAGGAATCGGTTTCTTGTGGGGAATTAGTGAGATCGTCTTCAGACTTCACAATAGCAGTGATTAAAACTTTATCTTTAGGATCTTCTCCCACAACAAGATCATCATCATAAATAAACTCAAATCCATAGAGGAGTCCTTGACCGGCCATCTTTTTGACGACAGCATAGCTATACTCAGTTCTTGAACCAAGTTGTAGGGYGGTGATCGCTTTATGTCTAACCTTTACAAATTCAAAGTCATTAACACCCAGCAATGGGTATTTCTTCASAGAATCTTATTTCTGATGGTCTTTTCGTCATCTTCATCAGTCAACATTAAGATACCTGATGCCAAAATAGTGTCCTACTTTTGTCCCAAATTTGGTTGGTTGCCGTCATCTTGGATTTCTTCGTCGTCAAAACAACGTAGCAATGCGAATTCAAGAGGTTTTTTTAACTTCAGGGTTTTCCTTTATCTTATTGCCTGTCTTTTGGTTATAATCTGCTCAAGAAGCAGACCTTAATCGCTCGCTTCGATTAAGTCTTCGGCAAAGTCMAGAAGCAGAACTTTCTCTCAGCATGTTGCTAGCCCTTTCTAATGTGTCATGTAATGATGAAGTAGGCGGTACTGGTTGATTTGAGGTCTTATTGTTATTTGAAAGGATCTGTGAAGCTTCATTGAGCAGCTTTGAAACCTTTTGAAGGTCGGATGAATCGTTCTCCGCCATGTTGACAAGCCACGAGGAATCACAGACAACAGACCGAGGCTTGGTCGCGCTCGCCCCAGGAAGATTAAATAAAATGGGCAGCGTTCAAATATATTTTGGGAAGATTAAATTTAAATAAGATATTAAAAGACCAAACAACATAATCATTAAAAAAAACAAAACAACAACAATCGCGCGTTCAAATTTAAAAGCTTTTTTTGAAATGATCAAATGCTATTTTTGTTTTAAATTCAAATAAATAAATGGCTGTTTCTTGGTGTTGCAAGGCACCAAACTCACAAGTCTTTGATTGTATTTTTCCTCCTAGACAAATTTTCTCTCTGGTGCTGAATATGTTATTCTGATTCTATATCACAAAGTACAGGGATTTATTGCTTTCCTTGCTTCTTTGCATGGTGTACATGATATAATGGACTGATATAATGTATCTGCCTCTATAACAACCACTGGGACACTGGGACACTGGCCCACTGACCCGGGACACTTGATTGCTTGCATTATGTATATTACATGTATCTACTTCTACAACAAACACTGGGACGGTGGGTCACTGGGACACTGGGACACTAACCAACTGACCCGGGACACTGGTCCACTGACCCGGGACACTTGATTGCTTGCATTATGAATATTACATGTATCTACTTCTACAACAAACACTGGGACAGTGGGTCAATGGGACACTGGGACACTAACCAACTGACCCGGGACACTGGCCCACTGACCCGGGACACTTGATTGCTTGCATGATGAATATTACATGTATCTACTTCTACAACAAACACTGGGACAGTGGGTCACTGGGACACTAACCAACTGACCCAGGACACTGGCCCACTGACCCGGGACACTTGATTGCTTGCATGATGCATATTACATGTATTTACCTCCCTAACAAAAATATACCCATAATGCAAAGTACAAAAATTGCACATTAAATTTACTGCTTTGAAGAACATTTTAATTGGAAATTCCACAGATGAAATTAAATGTATATTGTTCAAACTATGCCCTTGACACTAAATGTAAGTTATTTCTACTGTCACACAAATAGGTCATTGATAATCAGGTATTGTTTCATTAGTATTCAATTSAACTGTTCTAATTAAGATTAATAGTCAGTTAATATGCAAATAACAACCGTTTGGATTTATTAAGAACGTCACTGTGAAGAAACTTGAACTGTAGTAAATCCTTGAAATAGTAATTTACTTGAAAATTGTTTATTTAATGCCTRAACCCTAACATTATTTTTAATTTGCTAAATGGGAATTTAAAACACAAAAACACAATAAGTGTCCATAGCCTTTCATGAGGTTTGCATTGAAATGGGCTGAAAATATTCATARTAGGTTTAAACTTTTAATTAGTAATTTTTTGGAGCAACAGCATCATACAGGAACTATAAATAAATATCGATATCAATAAACAAATATTGATATCAAATTGTTGTGTACGTAATGTCCATCTCACACACACTTCGATGCTCGTGCCTTTTCAATCCCCTCACTTTGTTCACTTGTACAACGCATCTTTTCTTTGTCTTTCCTATCTCTGCCGCGGCCGCAACGACATTGCTTCAGTGTACAGTCTTCTGTAGATATTGTTTGCAGGTGATCACTTGTATCCATTTTATCATCCGTGATCTCTATGTTAGGCTGGCTTACAACTACGGCCACAAAAGGGTCATAGTGTCCATTTCCACATTGATTAAAAGCCAGGAGAATGGGCTTTCCTCCAGGAAGCTGTACTCTCGGCGTGATTGTAACCACTGGCAGATTGTCAACTGAAGTGAACAAAATAAGAGGTACCATAATGACATTAGAAATWGCCAGAGCCATAGCATTTCCTAATTCAATTTCATAAACTCCACACTGCTCATAAAGCAAAATTTCCTCTTCAAGATCTTTATCACTAGAACAGAGAAAGTCAAGGCAGTAGTCTTTGGGGTTTTCCAGCCATTCATAAACCATAAGTTGCCGAAGTTTTTTGATAGCTTCTTCCTCTGACAATTTCTTACAAAGCCCAAGTTTCACTTGGTGGCTGTATTGGGGCTCTGTCTCTGGTAGGTTTGTAATGACTGATCTAAATAAACAGTCGCCATCACCTAAGACTGGGATTTTTTCCAAATGATAAGCATTCAGTGTATCCTGAACAAGGGCGCTAGAACTGAAATTATGACCAATAAGATCCAAAAATTAAGGGCCGAAATAGTAAATACGCTACCGTCGCGATGTTTTATAACTCGTCGGGTTTCGAATCGAAAGTCATCTAAAAGTTGAGCGAAGCGCTCGTCAATAATTTTTGTTACATATGAAACTAAAATGTGAGTGTGTTGAATTCGTGTTTAAAAACGTTGAATTGAGAAATAGAAACATTACATTTTAAAGCTTGTTAAGCAGCATTATATTCAAAGTGTCAGTCGCATAAACTTGTTTGTGAATGGTGCTTCTTTACGACAAACATTTAGCTTTCATTTTGGTTTCTTCCAAATGGACTTGAACTTAGATTTCGGCCAGACACTTTGTCCATTTAAAGTGCCCCTCTGACGAAAATTGACATCATCCCTRAAAAATTTCGTTASAATTTTCGGAATAAGCGTGCTCGAAATAATGAATCTACCAAATTTGAGAGGAATTCGTCTTAAGGGTGCCAATAAAATGATATTTTTGCATGCCGAAATAGTCCAGCCGCCATATTGAGTGTGAATAAATGAGCCATAGTAMAGCGGTTAGGCGCGTGAGCATAGTGACGTCATCCAATCAACRCGACCTGAAAGCTTGGTATTTTCTCGCTGTTGTTTATCATAATGTCCTCGAGTGAAAGTGAATATTCTACAAGTCTTGGATCTCAAACGTCTCTTTYGTCGTTCGAAGATGCCTTCGATGAATGTAATTTCACTGAATCGACTGATGYYCCTGTTGGAATAGACGAATTAGAGCCTCTGGCTACCAATGAAGAGCAGCAAGAATACCTCGAGCARGTTGCTCAGGAAGACGAGCAAGAAAGACAATTAAAGATGCGACTCACAGGGGACGTTGACGTTAAATCTTGGTAAGAGGAAAAAAGATAGCTTTTATAATTATGATCTTGAAGTTTCATTTACAAAATGAAAATAATATAAGCTTATATGATGRGAAAGTAAGCATGGCTTCAYTGCTTATTTAGCATGATTTTTGATCGAAGTTTACAAGAGAACTGCTAACCCTAAAACTTGTAAAACTAGATAACTTACAGCTTTAGCAAGCGAATTTCAAAGCAACTTTCTCTTTTTCTGTAGCTTGTTGCGTTCATGTGATCTGATCAAGCTTTATAATACATCTACGTTTTGTAATTTCCGTAGGTGTCGGTGTTCAAATTGCTCATWGGAATTGGTAGTGAAGCCGGAAGAATGTTTTTGTTGTACTGAGCTACAGCGTTGCGTGGATAAAATGGCCGCTGATGATTTTCCTGAAAATAAATGTATTACAGAGCATCCAGGGTTCCATAACGTTTGTTTAGACAGATACGTTTTGGAAACTGCAGCTATAGGGCTGAAAACAAGAAATAATAGGAGTTATCTGTCCTTATATAAAGAAAAGAAAAGCCCCTTGACACAGTAAGTATAAGCCCTTACCAATCACTGTTGGCCTTGGTATCTAATAGCAGGCTATATGGCAAAATTATTTTGTCAAATTATACATAATTTTMTGTTWCATTTCTTTCAGATTCCTGCGTTCTGTTTCATACAGACAAATAATAAGATTTGTTTGGTGCTACATGGGAAATTCTATGCGAACACCTTTACCCTCTTGTATCTACAACAGCATTCGAAAAACATTTCCTTGCCAGCAAGCTTTATATAAAGGGTTTGAGGAAGAGGCGGAAGAAGAAGAAACAGAGGGAAGTGATGATGAACAAACAAATGAGACTGAAAATTAGTAAGAATAGATTCATTAGATTCTCTCTCTTTTACTACAGGTTTATTTATTTTGAAAGAATGTGAATAAGAACTCTAACATCAAAATCACTTGTTATTTGAAAATGTAATCACTCAGTTGCTGTGGGACGTCCAGGACATATTCTGACTTTGTTTACAATTTTATGACCCTTAACTGGCTTATCACAACCATGACATATTGGTGTTTTTCGTGGAGCCTTTTCTCTTTGATTGACAGTTTGTTGTTGCTGCAAAAGCTTCTCCAATTCTTTCTCTAAAATTTTAATAAAATTGACAAACATTAACTTGCTTTGAAAATTCTTGCATATTCTATTATTGATGTCATTCAGATTTTGATATGGTATGAAATTAGAATATTGTAACTTTTATAGGGAAAAAAAACTCACTTGAGCATGTTGGTGGACAAATTTCTGTCTCTTTCTGGGTTCTTGCAATATACTTTTGCTCTGCTTCATCTTTTGACTCTTTTTCATACATACTGTGGAGAGGCTCTGGGGTGGACTGATATAATTCTTGTACCAATAATTTCAACTCATTTCGTGGTGTTGTTGTCATAGTTAAATAAATTTCGTTTATATAATCTAAAATATAGGAAAGGAAACCTC